ATATAACAAAGGCATGTATTCTTCAGCAGCTGACAGCACCTATTTTTAATAGCAGAGTAGGCACCTTCTGGTTAAAAAAATAACCTTTCATAGAACTTCGATTGAATAAACAATAGTGAAATTATCAAAATTATATCTCGATCGTTGTCAACAATGGAACCGACGATTGTTCCCATGGGACAAAAGAGCCATTAAAAGGCAATTTTGCGCTGGAAGAGTTCTCTCATAAAAATTAACTCCACCATAGGATGGATGAATAGACCATCGGTTCTTGCGGGTGTGCGCGCCCTGTAATTTAGCAGACCCCAGACTGCATCTCTGCATGCTTATTATTTACCTGAGTTCAGTCAAGTACTCTCCCAGCTTCGGGTTACTCGTTAAACCTAATTAGACAAACCATTTTTTTCTCATTCATTTTGCCCATCAGTGGCGTATTTGTTTGTTTGCTCAGTTATTTATGTGCGTGTTTACAATTCGATTTTTTTTCTATAACTAATTATTTTAGTTAGAAAAAGAATTATGAGCCTCACGTTTTGTCTGCACTTTTGAATGCTCTAGTTGATTATCGTTGTTGGGTTCTTTCTTTGTCAGCATCATCAACGCAGGGAACCTTATTCTGTACCTAATATTAATGGTTCATGTAGGTATATCCTCGTGTTTAGCGATGCGGCATACAAACGCAAAAGAATGGTACAGTTTTTCATCTATAAAAAAGCCGCGATAAATCTTCATTCTTGTGCCAAACATTGCAATATCCAATATCCTATAACTCGTCCTATAATAAGAAAATAATAATACTGCTGACATTTCGATGCTGTATAATAGTTTTTTCCAGAGGCTGCAACAAAAAATCATTCGGTGTTGCTTCATGTTTGGGCCCTCTGGGCACGTCCGTCTCCGTCAAGGCTCGACTTTCGAGTCGATGATAATGTTGCAGAGTTTGATATACCTATTCTGGATATTATTTTTTGTCTTGATTGCTCTGTGATTGCTGATATTTGAAACTGTCTGCCTCAGCTCTCTTGCAGCTCTGATGTAGGTGCTCATGGTAGGTACGTTTAGTCGTTCCCTGTTCCACAGCTGCATAAAATTTGATAACGAATACGATATATTTTTCGTAGATCTCCTGCTGTGTTCTTATAGTTCTAGCTGGCACTATATTATACCAAGAGCTTTCTGATGCGGTCTTTGCTGTTCTTGATACAGGATAGCTATAATCTTTTTGTTGCTCCTTTATTGGTGCATATTGGGAGCTGCGATCTCTTAATTTCCGAGGAGAAATAAGTAGGGTTCATCCTTTTCCAAATATACCATATAAATGTTCCGGCTCGCAAATCCGCTTTGCCAATCAAATATCGGAATACCTACGCCATTGATGATGTTCGGTGAAAAGAAATTAGGCTGCTGGTAAATTGCCAAAGAAAAACGACTGAAATAGTAATAAACCTACTACCAGATAAATAAAGACTTTAAAGAAAAAAATCACTTCCCTGAAAAAAGCATACTTATAGCATTCTATATGCTTAAAAGGCGTAATGATGGGCGTAAACAGTTTTTAAAGGCGATACCGACAAAATACAAACCTCAAATTGAATGACTGATACCTAAAATAAATAACTGGCCTTAAGAATGTAATAATAATTTAGAAAAAGAAGATCTAATGAAAGATCGAAACGTCGCTGATCAAATAATTGAATTGTTTATTGCTGTCACTTTGCTTGTTTATGTAATGCAATAATCATAATCCTATAAACTGGCTTGTATAGGTATTAATAACATTATTGAAGTACGAGGTGAAAACATGGATCCCGGCATGCCCCCATCTTCGAAGTTAATACCCTCAGCCCACTATTCTTCTATTTGGCAATGAACCCCCTATCACACTGCTTAAAATGGACTGGATATGGAAATGGATTTTGCATTAGAAACAATAATGCAGAAGTGGTCTCTTTAAACAACCTATTGTATATCTGCGATCTGAAATTAATGGTCGCCAATGAAAATCAGATTACTCAGCTTCTTGAAATTGTAGAAAAATTATTTGGATATGGAATGCAATTAAACGCCAAACCACAATAGCAAAATCGCCAAGTTGGTACAGAGATTATTTGCCTGGTAATAATGGATGTTTTCAGTATAGGACGTAGATACGAATGTTATTTTGTTAAGTTTAATTGAAAATATGGTGTTAGCTAGATAAAAAACAAAGTAATTATCAAACAATATGAGTGGATACAAACAATAAGTTATGCTCTTTGTTGAATCATGGATTGCATCCATCTGGATGAATGGAACCACGGATGGCGTCACCCCCAAAATAATTATCTATATACACTTGTACCTTTTGAGCGATAGGCAGGGTCCTAAAAACAATAAAGACAGCTTGCTCAATTGCCCATTCCATACCTGAGTGAAATTTGCGATACATAGCAGAGCAAGGAAACATTAAAAATATATGAGCAACACAATGCAAGTAGGTATACCGAACAACTAAAGTTCTGGTATTTTTATTGCTAGAAGAAACCCAATAACTTCAATTAATATTCTGTAAACCTCTATAGTAGTTTATGATATCCTTTCAGAAACAAACTAATGGGTTTCTTGTTGCAAAGATTGTAAAGTCGTTGGTAAGTTTTCACAAAAAGAAAACAATCTATCAATCAAGCGCATTGTTGTTTATTATAGTTCAGGAAATGTTCTAAGGCGCGCCGAAATAATTTTAATTTGAAAAAATACAACCGACATGACATGGTAGTTAATTAATAATGTTTATTTTTAAACAATGTTCGGATGTTAGCTTGCTGCCTAGGCGCCAGTCATTTTAAACAGTTCAACAAACATAATAAAACATCGGTTTAAAATTAGGAGCTCGCTTTATTCTTATGCAAAGAAACGTTTGATGTTGACCAAAAATTTAGCCAAAAGATATTAGGCACGGACATTTTTTGGTCATTTACGATCACCATTATTCGCATAAGGGGCTAAAAGCTAGACTAAAAACTCTCTATTCTTAAAATTTGTCTTAGAATGAGGTGTCAAATGTCAATAATAAAGCGGACAAAAAATCTGAAGAGTTATTGGACGCGCAATAAGGATAAGCAGAAGCAGGAGAAAGACGCATTATTATGGCACATCGAGGCATATATGTTGTACGATTGTACATAGATTTTTTTTTTTACTTCTTATCACAAAAAGTACACGTTTTTGCAAAATATGATGAAATATTTCGCAATTACTTGAGTATAATTATCACGTTGCTTTCTAAAAAAATTGTCTCATCACCTTATCGCATAACATGCGAAAAAAGCAATTGCACCATATCTTTGCTTCAACAAAATATGCAAATTGTTAACCTCAAGAACAGATCAGACAAATTTAAAAACAGAATAAGTCAACAAAACTCATGTCATGCTCTGAAACATTGGCAAATTCAATTTATTCAAAAGCACAAAGGAAGAAGAACATAAGGTTATACCGAATACCTATTATCTATTTTTGGGATCAAGTTTTACACTTCCCTACATTTTTGCAATTTTGAAAATATTGTTTTAGGAAATCACGAGGGAAATCAATAATCTTCAAGATGAATTTGATAAGCTTGACTGACTCATATTATAGCTTTATCTAATACAATCGCACGTGGAATCATTATACAATTTAATAAAAATATTTTCGCGACTTGAATTTATGTAAGTGAATATGTTATGGCTTTTGACCTCCAAGAATACGATTCTGTGAGAATTGATTATTTGCCCTCTCGGTAAGAGATTGAAAAAAAAAATATTCAAAACTATTGGAACCGCGATAATACAAAAGGTGAAACAAATCAAAAATATGATTTGAACAAAAGTTGTGAAGTAAGGAATACGGAATATTGCGAGTAAAACATCTGAATAGTCAAGGATATAGCTGGCGTATGACCCACAAGTGTTAGGTACTACAGCGCACTTATCCAAATAATTCGTATTTTCTTTTGATCCACAATTCGACGACATAATTTGAAACAAGAAACGTATTTTCGGTATGTTTTCATTGCACTGTTTTCCTCTCCTTTGCAAATTCTTTGAATAAGTATAGGTATCAGAAACTTAAAAATAGAAGACTATAGGTTTAAGGAGAAGTGGGAGAATTTCCCTGTTAATTTGTTATCCATGAAATCCTACTTGCAAAAAATTAAGTCCTTAACAGTTTTTAAATTAAGTTTATCCTTATAGATTTCCATACAAATCTTTAATGTCTAGAAAATTGCCTTCATACTAGATTTTGCAACAAAAGTGACAACAAGCTTATCTGCAATATTCAAGAACACCTCTTCTAATTTACACATTTTATGTGCATTAATTCCTCCCATTTTCTGCTAATTATAATTAATTGGATCTTAGTCCCAAAAAATCACTTTGGTTGAGAAAGGAAGCTGTGCGAGGCTGTGCTAACCATTTGCTAATTATTGTTTTATGTCTATACCTCGTGAATTGCAATAAAGTAATTTATCATTATTATTATTATTTTTACTTCTCCAGTTTCCTGTTTCCTACACTACAGTAGCTACAGTACCTACTACAGAATATAACAAAGGACAGTCATAGCTATAAGCGTGCTGAGTTTCTGATGAAGCCAAACATCAGCAACTTGCATTATTGGGTACCTATACAGGATAGTGCACAGTCACAGTATAAATGCTATTTTTTACTTTCCCTGTATAATAATCGAATCATTCATCAAGAATATTTTTTCTCGATTCGAGGATTTTCTCAAAATTGCAACTGGCATATCCTTTTAAATACATATACAACTCAATCATTCCTACTAATTAATTGGCGCGAATCAATTATTTTTATTGCAACTGCATTACACACGTAAACACCTTCAAATTTAAAATGTATTCTTTACAAATCTTACACTGGTATTAAGTAATTATTAATAATGAACGTACGAATGAAACGTTATATGGAGGATTACATGCAAATTAATCTATATTTTAATTTAAACAAAAAGATTACCTGTTTTTAATTCATCCCAAGGCTGTTGTGGTGTTCTTACTCTAGGTCTATTGATGCTGACAGATTCCTCCTGAGCGAATCCAGAAATTATCACAGATAGGAAGATTGAAATTAAAATTAACATGATGTCCTTGTTTAAATGTCGAGACATTTAAAATAATTATTGTCAGTTAATGTTTCGATAGACAAAATGATTGTTTATCTTTTTCAATTTGTCTTAATTGCCGTTGGTTAATTTATTGAAAATAAAAACACGCACAAGAAGTCACTTAACGATTATATAAAATAAAAATTGTTTCAGGTCTTAGAGAGAATGTTCCAAAGAATATCAAATTCACAATACCATTCACTACATCGCGAGTTCTCTATCGTTCCCGCGCACACTGACTACAACCTCTCCGCTCGGTTGTTCGTCGATAACTAAACTAAAAACTCCAATTGATTACACTTCACTCTACTGTATAGTAAGTGGGCCTGTTTAGCAAGCGCCTCTTGTTGATTTTAACTTTCCTACTCTTCTCGTGATTTAAAGCTGGTACTACACGATCAGTCGTACCTAGTAACTATGTATGTCCAAAGCGGTAGGTACCTTTTTGCAATATAATTTTCATCTGGTTCAGGAAAAGAATTTTCTTTTGACTTTTGAGTTCCCAAAGTTTCGTCAAAGTTTCTCTGTATCTAGGCAGCCAAAAAAAGGGCTAGGTTTAGATATCTTGACTACTATTGCTTAGAATTACCTACTAATTTTTGTGGGAGAAAAATATTTGCTAACGGGCCTTAAAAAAAAACATACCAAAGATGGCTATGATTTTTTAAACGCATGCCTTAGCAATATTTTGCTTTAATTTTGTCATTGAATCTTGTGTCAAAATGTCGTGTCAAATATCCTGACCAATAAAGGAACAATAATGCGACGTACGTTTTCGTAATCAAAGCACTCTGTGTTATGGTTTTTTTTGAAGACCTGTTACCTACTACTTTGTTTGTAGCCAACCAACCAAAAAAGCTTCGCCCGTAATATGTTGAAATTGTATATTGCTCCTGCTGATTTTATCAGGAACATTGAAACCATACTCAATTCTCCATAGAATTTCTGCACTTAGTGATGCCGCGAGACTCGAGACTGGTCTCGTCTCGTCTCGACTTTTCGAGACGAGACTGGCTTTTGGTCTCGTCTCGTGAAGTCTCGACGAGACGAGACCAGGGGGCGGATTACGAACTCTCGATTCGAACCGAAACCGCCATGGATTTCGAACGCACTCCATGCGAATGCATCAGAATGCGTTCGAAATCCATGGCGGTTTCGGTTCGAATCGAGAGTTCGTAATCCGCCCCCAGACTAGGCGAGAGTCTCGTGTAGTCTCGAGTCTTGAGATTACAATTAAAATTTCTCTTTCATAGCTTTATTATTGGAGTGATCTGGGCTATTTGAATATGAAATCAGTAAGTTTTAATACTAACAATTAATGGGATAATTTCTACATACGTACTTAAATATCAGAATCCACTTTCGGTTTAGCCAGTATTAGACAGTAGGTATTTGACGTTCATATTTTTTCAAATATCCCGCCCGGTTACTCTTTGATGTGATTTTTCACTCTTTAAATAACTGCTTTTTCACTATGGCAGTTTGGACTTTTGGACAGTTATAATATAAAAATAAAAACCAAAAATACAGGGTGTCCGAAAAATAGCGTAAAAGCTCTCCACGTAGTAGGGGACCCTTCTCCAGCATTATTCTTGGTAACATGAAGAGGTAAATGTTGAAATTCACCTTTGAATACACGTGTATTTTTTTTTCTTCTTAATCTAAAATTAACGAAGATACAACGCTATGAAATGTGCCTATGACGTCATAAATCATATAACTTTATGACGCACATGCTCAGTATATCTATACTTCTATACAAAACCTAATTGGACAAAATGAAAAAATACGTATTGATTTTTTTTCGATTAGGTACCTACAGTTCACAAGAATCAATAATCAATTTAGTTTTTCATGCATGTTCCCTATTACATAGGTATTCAATTTAATTCTCTGAGATACTGTCAACGGGATATTTTCAGTGTTGCCAATTTTAATAAATATTAAAATGCAAATAACTTTCTTAAGAATACCACTAGATTTTTTAAATTATTTTTCTGGGGTTCCTTGAAGTGTCCTCCACCACGTAGTAAACAGCATGCATGCTATTTTCTGGACACCCTGTATAACTCGAGACCAGACGAGACCACTCGAGACGAGACGAGACTTTGGTAATCGAGATCGAGACTAAGCCACGGTCTCGTCTCGAGATGTCGAGACGAGACGAGACCAACCTTGAGTCTCGTCTAGTCTCGTCTCGCGGCACCACTATTCTGCACTGCGTATCTATAAACTTTTTCGATAACTCAAAAAAAGCCAGAGATAGAGCGTATTTTTTGAGGTGTCCAACGCTATCGCAATGTTACGTCAGCATCACTGACGACGTCATAAAAAATAATCCCTATATCTGATAGACTCATCTCTGTTCATGTTAATCGATATCAAAAATGTCAAACCACATTTTACAAATAAGGTACCTACCAATTTAGGACATAGTTCATGGCATAAAGAGGGATGGCATGATATGAGCTCACATTGCGATAGCATTAGACAAAATATATAGATATAGTTTTAGCGAAGACTAACAGCCGTATTCATAGTCAATCGCCAGCGAGTCGCCGTGTGCAGTGCCAAATACGGCGACTCGCTGGAGATTGACTATGAATACGGCTGTAAGACTACTACGAATGCGCTATACTTGAAGCATTAGTTACCCTTTTTCCATAACGAATTTATAGTAAGTACTGCAAGAGTAATTTTAATTAATGTTTTTTCGCCTCACCATCATTATCCTCAATGCGATCGTGCGCATAGTTGTTTAACTCCATTAACGATAAGGGATTTGTTTTTATGGATCTTTTTTGATTTTCTATAATTAACGCTATCCTTATTAGAGAAACAAATTGGCCGTAATTTGATTGGCTTAAATACTCTCTATTGAATATTATATTGTATGGCCTCCTTTACTAATTTCCGTAGTCATCGCTCCTTGCCAAATAGACACTTGAAAGTCTAGAGAACCAAGAGCGCCACTCGGCAAGGACCAAGCGTGGCATGGGTTCGGTATGCCGTGCCGCTTCGAGCTTGCTCCCTTGGGGCGATGCTGTTGTTTCAGTGCATAGCGCGGCTCATCAGTAGCGTACATCATCCACATGAATACATATTGTTTGTAAACAAATAAGAAATAGAAAATAGAATTTATTGCAGTTCACCTAGTCGTGCGCAAAAATTAAATATTTTGCGAATTTTTTTCAATTACCTATGAGAAATTTCGAAAATACTCTTGACTTGACTAGGTATATTGCGGCTCATGAACCAGACAATCATATGAACCAAAAACTGTATTTAGACATACAGAAATATTTTATATATGTTACTGTAAATGCCCGAAATTCGGTAAAACCTAGGATAAGCGCGCTAAACCTAGGATTTACCAAAAGCAAGTGGTAAAAGCCCGAAAACTAGTTATTTTGCTTCCATTTCGGACTTTTACCGGACAGAAATGGTAAATCTTAGGATTTACCACACCGCATTGGTAAAAGTACGAATTATTTTTCTTATAATAACAAAATCGACAAATTAAGTATGTTATGTGGTGGGAATTTAAGAAATGCAATTACATTCGAAAATGTTCCACCTAAAGATGTTTGTGCAGATCCTTTAAAATTATAAAATAGTCTGCAATTCTAAATGACACGGAAGTTTGCCAGGTACCAATAAATACATATTTCTATCAGTGGACATTTTGATTCATTTATTTCATTTAATAAATAATAGTGGATTATACCACGAGTCAATAATGATAGCTATTATTCCCGAGGAATATTTACGAACTGAGCCGCGTTAGCGAGTAGTATACTCTACTTTATTTACGACAAATTAATTTATTTGAGATATAATGAACAAATTTAATCCATCTCAATTCTCAATACAAATCCACAAGCACTACACGTTTGGCACTGACACTTTTGAGGAATATTGACCATTAATCCTTCTACTCGTTCTTATTCCCTGGGGGAATAACATATGTCATTATACTGCCAAAATTACAAGTATATAATACTTACATTATACATTAGTCGTAAATAAAAGGATTTTTTCTTTTAATATTTAAGTACTTTTTGCAATATAAGTACCTGAATTAATGTTTTTTTTTTTAAATTTAAATATCTCTTTTAATACCATTATTATTTCTGTTTACATATTAAAATAATGAGTGTTTTGGTGTGACTTTTTGTTTCATTTATAAAGTAGGTATTTACCTTATTTTTAGGCATTGAAATTCTAACGATTATCGTTTCAGTACATCGATTTCTGTAACGTATTAGTGGTATTCGTACTTTTACCAATGAGGTGTGGTAAATCCTAAGATTTACTGTTTCTGTCCGGTAAACGTCCGAAATGGGAGCAAAATAACTAGTTTTCGCGTTTATCCTAGGTTTTACCGAATTTCGGGCATTTACAGTAACATATATAAGGCCTGCCCAGACCTAACATGCAGTGGCGTAGCCAGGATTTTGTCTTGGGGGGGGGGGGGGGGCAAATTTGCGGGAATAAGCGTCTCTTGCGGTTCCACCGCGACTGCTGCCGCAGGCACGAAATTTTTGGGTACCACGCCCCCTTTTTCAGGTTTCTTTATGTTATTTTTGGGACTGTTTATCTTAATTTTGAAGAAATATTCATAAAATTTAAGGGTCTTGGGGGGGGTAAATGCCCCTTGCCCCCCCCCTGGCTACGCCAGTGCTAACATGAATGACCAGGAACAATCTAGACAAACACAAACAGAGACGTAAAAATATCTTCGTCTCAGATTTGGAGATTTCGGAATCGGAAAAACATCAACAATTACAAAAACACACAACATTGATGTTCTGTTACTTAGTACCTACCTATGTATCATTTTGTAGCACATAGTGCAAAGAAATATAAAAACGACAAACGATCGTTTGTCTAAGTTCGTCTATGCGTATACGTTCTACAAATTTCTTCTGACATAGATAAGTTCGTCAAAGGTCGAAGTTGCTTGATTGAATTTGTTCTGGCTCTTTTCGACGTGCACGAGGCGCACTGGTTTGTTCGAAAATGCTCATTGGTAATCATGAGGTCTCGTCACACTAAGATTTAAAAAAATTGAAAATGTACTTCATTTTTAAAGTTTCTAAACAAATAAAAAGTTTTGAAACAATAAAAAATAAACTCTCGAATATATATAGGCTAGTCTCATCATTTTATGAGCATCAAGAAGGTAATCAATTCGAATTGCGACGTTTCTTTCTTCAAACTGTATATGATCATTCAAAGTTTGATTCAGGATTACTTAGATGCTGGAATAAGTTTTTTGACGTCTACAAAAAT